TAGTAAAAGTTGATAAATTTATCTTTTTTTGTGGATTTCATTGTTTTAGATATAGAGGAAGATAAAAAAATACCTATCATTTTAGGGAGACCATTTTTAGCTACTGGAAAAGCTATGATAGATGTTCAAAAAGGAGAATTAACTATGAGAGTTAACGATCAAGAAGTGACTTTTAACATTACGAAATCTATGAAATACCCTGTTGTTGAAAGAGATAATGAATGTTTTAAAGAATATTTTGAAGAGAAAGAACAATTTGAAGATAGTGATGAAGTTATTTTAGACGAATTAGAAAATGAAGAATTAAATTATGTTCAGGAAAGATTTGAGATGCTGCATATTACAAAAAATGCTGATAAGAATCTACATCCGTCAATTATAAAATCACCTAAACTTGAGTTAAAAATATTGCCTAGCCACTTGAAGTATGTGTTTCTAGGAGACTCATGTACATTACCTGTTATTTTATCTTCAGAATTAAATAATTTGCAAGAGCAAAGACTATTAGATACATTAAAAAGATATAAGAAAGCTTTTGGTTGGACCTTAGCTTATATTAAGGGAATCAGACATTTGATTTGTATGCACATAATTATAATAGATGAACAATATAAACCAAGAGTTGATCCACAAAGGAGATTAAATCCAATGATAGAAGAAATAGATAAGAAGGAAATTTTGAAATGGTTAGACACTGGAATTATGTATCCTATTTCAGATAGTGAATGCGTAAGTCCAATTCATTGCGTTCCTAAGAAAGAAGGAGTGACTATTGAAACAAAAGAAAATAATGAATTAATACATATCAGACAAGTTACTGGGTGACCTATTTGTATTGATTATAGAATATTAAACACTGCCACCACGAAAGATCACTTCCCTTTACCATTTTTAAAGCAAATAGTGGATAGAATTGCTCGACACAAATATTTTTTATTTTTTAGATGGATATACCAGTTACCATCAAATTCCTCCATCAAATTCTAGATGGATATACCAGTTACCATCAAATTCCTATTGCTCTTGAGGATCAAGAAATGACAACATTTGAACTTTTTCTTTTCGAAGAATGATTTCGAAGAATGACTTTTGGATTAGGTAATGCACCTGCAACATTCCAGAGATGTATGATGTCTATATTTAGTAAGTTAATTGATGATTTATTGGAAATATTTATGGATGATTTCTCTGCATTTGGAACATCATTTGACTCATGCTTAAATTATCTCGAAAAAGTTTTGGAGTTATGCGAAAGAACTAATTTAGTTCTAAATTGGGAAAAATGTCAATTTATGGTTGCAGGTGGAATTGTGTTAGGGCATAAAATTTCAGAAAATGGTATGGAAGCAAACCTTGCAAAAATTCAAGTTATATCTAAACTAACACCTCCTACTAATGTAAGAGAGGTTAGGAGTTTTTATGGACATGTTGATTTTTACAGGCGTTTTATTAAAGATTTTTAAGAAATTACTAAACCTTTATGCCAACTTTTAGAAAAGGACAAGAAATTTGAATTTATTGAAAGATGTTTAAATGCCTTTGAGTTATTAAAGAAAATAATTAATCACAGCTCCTATTATAGTTTTACCTAACTGAGAGAAACCATTTGAACTGATCTGTGATGCTAGTGATTGTGCTTTGGAGCTGTCCTTGGACAAAGGTATGAGAATATTTTTAAGGTTATATACTACGCTAGTAAAACTCTTAATGATGCTCAAATTAATTATACTGTTACTGAAAAAGAGTTACTGGTCATTGTGTATGCTTTATACAAATTTAGATCTTATTTAATTGGAGCTAAATGTGTTGTGCTCACTGATCACTCTGCTATTAAATATCTGATGCAAAAGAAGGATGCCAAACTAAGGTTAATTAGATGGATACTTTTGATGCAAGAATTTGAT